CGACGATCCTCCTCGCCAGATCCTTCCGCTTGATACGCGCTCTGAATAAGTAGGTCGCTTGGTTCTCGCTGATATTTATTTTATTTCGCCGGAATAACCCCATCAGCATAAATAGTAATGTAAACATTAACCCTTAGCGCTCCGGCACGTTTTTGGAGCGGAGCGCCTGAGATAAAGGAAGTCTTATTTTGAGCGGAAAAGATTACACGTCCTTGTGAATGTATTTGATTTTATTTATTTTATAAATATATATTCCCCTATTGTAAATAAAAGATAAATTTTTAATTTTGTAATTCACCATGCTGTGATATCTTTGGTAACAATCTCCCATGTGCATTCTGGGTTTACTTGGACAAGTGTCGCAGTGTTCACTTTGCCAAATAGTTACTAGATATTTCTTTCAAGTGTAGAACATTTTCTGCGTAATTGTTGGTTTCCTTTATAATTTCATTTACCAATTCGTCCGTGAGAAATAATTTAAAATATTGTATCGGCTGTTCAATGTTTCTAGGAACTTGTGGTCCAATGACCTGTGGCAATACACTAAAAGATATCCTATCTAGAATATGTAATTCTTTCTTCTACTCTTTGGTAGTGTAATTTCGCTACTACTGTTCGAAGTGTCAGAATCATAACCAACATTGTCTTCCACAATGTCTTTTAACTCTTCAAAATCAAATACGTCTTCGGTATCGCTCGGCTCTAAATTCTCATCGTAATATTCATTTTTCTCCATGTTGCTAACCATAGAAAAGGTCGAAAAAATGGTTTAATCGTAATGGTACAGAGTCAGCACGTTTTAACTACAGACAACAATTGCGAACGCCGACGATAACGTATGCTAAAAACATTTTGCTCCTCAGCGGAGCCTTCGGAGTTACGGAACAAATGACAAATGTCTCCGTAGCGGAGCCTTCGGAGCGCCAAGGGTTAATATTTAAAGAGGCATCGGTGATAGATAGCTTGAGTTTCGGTGGAGCTGTAATGAAATGCGAATTAAAATTTCGGATCCTCCAACATGGAATAGAGGAGAGTCTCGTAGGCTGGCTTGAAGCTACGCCGCATTCCATTAATAAATCGTTCAAGCCTCGAAAAAAAGAAAAAAAAACGACGGCAGTGCTGTTACAAGTTTGCTGGACCGTGGCGAGGCGACTTGGTCACCCTATTATTTGGACGCTATTTGGACAGGTCGTTCTCGGACGTCCGGCGAGATTTGCATATTCCCCTCGCGGATATTTATTTTTGCTCGCGTTATCATTGTTGCAAGCGTGTTCTTTGCACGGGAAAGGGGAGCATCTCCGGCGGAATCCGTTGGCCCAGTTTCCGTCTGGGCTATCCGCGAGCTCATTTGCAATTCCTATTTTCCGTCCGGACGTTCGAGTTAATTAACCTTGAACGTTGTTGCAACGAGACACGGCCCCGCCGCCGCGGCAGCGCGGACCGGTGGACCCAGCGGTTAATTGGTTTTCGAAACCCGGCCTCGTTAATAATCCTTCTCGTCCCCCCGTTGTTCCGCAGGGCGCGGACGGCCGGCGGACGGACCCCTGTGCAACGTGCATCGTGTGCACGGTCGCGGAGGATGCACGCAACAACGAGGCAACCGACGCGTAATTTGTTATCGGTTCTCTCGTCGAGTCTGTGCACGGCCCGTCCCGTTCTTCTGACCCACTATCCGACCTTTAATCGCGCCGACAGGATGCGTCTCTTCGATTAAAACATGCTAAAAATGGCCCGCGCGCGCGATCCTCAGCTAATTTCGTCCGCGTCCCCCCCCCGCCACCGTCGTCGGGGTTTCCGCTGATAACGAGCCTGCCCTGGGAACCGGCCGATAACCAACGAAACCGAAAGCGCGAAACAATCGCCGTCGGATCTCTGCCTCTGGATCGTTCATCTCGCGATTATTGGAATTACCGGGATACCGTCGCGTGCAATGATCGAACGAGCCGCCTCTTCGTTCCAATGCTGCGACAACGACACCTTGAATTAGGCGATAATGCGATAAATATGTCGCGGATCTTCGTGCATCTGTGACACCAGCAGATTTTTAATAAGCGAGGAAACATGCCAGTTAATACGGTCCGATAGCATTTTTATTTCACTCTTAGAATTAGCAATGTTTTAGTTGAAAACGTTTCTTCGATTCTAATTTTAATGAAATGACGTGCACGAAAATGTGAATTTCCATCGGGATTGAACAACCGAGGATCAAGAGTGACGTATGTTGTTTCACAGGGATGGCCTGCAGTCTTATTACGATGCAACGTAACGTAAAATTATCATAAAATGTAAAATTATACTGTAAAAAGCATACATTTACTTGCGCCAACAGTTGAGCCGTTTATTTTGAAAGTGGCATAAGTCACTTTACCGTAATGAAAAATGGTAATTTTTTAATGTTTATACGAAATTATTTATACTGAGAAAAATATCAGTATCCCGAGATAACAAATACAAGTAAATCTTCTCGAAAGTTAGCATCCATATTTTTTTAACGTGTTAAATCCTTCAATATATCGACTTAAAAACAAAGTGACTTATGCCACTTTCAAAATAAACGGCTCAGTTAAATGTCGCTTCGATTTTCCGCCGGTGGTTCCAGCGTAGAGGATGGGTCCCGACCGACCCAGTGGGCGAACGCGACGCGGTCGAAACCGTAATAGAAAACTCGTTAGAGTCGGGTCACGAGCGGAGCGTACCGCAATGCCAGGAAAATGGTATTTCCCGATAAAGGCGGATCGGAATAATGCATTGTAAGCTACGCCGCGAATTCGTACAACTTGTCCGTCGCGCCCAGCGCTGCCAAGTGCACGACACGTTTTCGTTGGTAATCTTATTTTCGATCAAAAATGCTTCCCGATAATCATGCCGTTAAGCCGGCCAATCTTGTTAGCATGCTCCCTATACCGCGGAAAACACGCTTTCCAGAAGCACGGTGACGATTCAACAACCTTCAATTGCATCACGTTTTATGGTTCTCGTTATTCGCGAGGCTGCATCGTAAAACTTGCGGATCTTAGACGTTCTTTATTTTCTCTGCATCGTTTTCGAAAGCATAAAAAAATATTTATTCGATCGTAAAATGGCAGGGACAACTTCTCGCGAATCAGGGGGACAAAATTTGACGTGCTGAACCATGCGGGGTTAATTAACCCCTCGAACATCATGCATCTGCGAATATTTCATTTTAATACGGATACGCGTTAAAATGGTGTCTCGTGGTTTTCATTGTTATCCTCGTTTTGTTATTGATAATAGAAGCATACAAATTTCTCCAGTTTTGGCTAATTAATCATTATAATATAATATATTATAATTTTATAATATAGAATATTTATATAACATTATATATAGAATATAACATAGAATATTCTATATTAATTATAATATATATATATATATAAATATAATTATATATATTATATAAATATATATTTAATATAGAATATAGAATATTTTTCTTTTTTAAAACTGCCGGGGTTAATTTGACCCCGCATCGTTCGCGGAACGTTAAATTCCATTCAACCGATCGCGAGAACGATAGCAGATAGAAACGCACCCTTATTTTCGGATAAATTCATCGGCAAAGGGTTAACAGTCCCCCGGTATTTCATGGCGTTCGCATTGTCTTTCCCCGCAATAGCAGAAACGTTTCCCCATCGATTTCTCTGCTTCCTTCCCGTCCGCCCCTCGGGACAAGTGTTTTTTATTATTCCGTTCACCTCGAACAGCGTTTCGTGCTACATCCGTTTCCCGCAAGGTCGATATTCTGGTTGTTCGCGCGGTTAGAGGGGTTCGCGACGGCGATGGCATTCACGACGGAGCGGGACCGTTTATGGTCGCCAAGTCACTCAGAAAACTCGCGAAAATCCACGGATTCACTCGGACGTCCCATTTTTGTCTGTTCTTTTCGAGAGCACGGTGGCGCGCTCGCATAATAGTCACATTCGCAGCCACGCTTGGACGCCTCGAGTGCTGCCGAGGTTTTACAGCGGTCCTCAGAGAGGATTTGGGGCTGTTAAAAATTCAGAACCTGGACGTTTTATTTTCTTTTATTCTCTTACGTCTTCGAGAGATCAAGAAATGAATTGAACGTTGTCAAAGGGCCTTGGCTGGTAGCTAAGAGAGACCAATATAAACTAATGAGTAATCAGCAATTCGTCAGCGTAAAAATATTCCCGTTCGATCAGGGCAGTTCACTCCGCGCCATGCGAAGCATAAACAATGACAACGTATAATTCAGCCCTTTGTATATACGATTTGATACGCGGCGCGCGCGTGTTCGCCGGCCGGAAGCTCCCTTACCGGACGCGGAGTACTCTTGAATATTCATTTAAACGGTTCATCGGTACTATCTCCGAACCTAGATCAACGGTATCGCTTCAGCCTCGAATTCCGAGTCACTGTTGTCCCTTGATCGGATTTCCTGATTGCATCGATGCCGCCTAAATCTGCAAAATGGCACGTACAACGGCTCATAAAGCACTGTATGTATACTCCAGCGGCCGTAAACGCGGACGAAATTGAAGCACTTCTCTTAATCGAACGAACGCTAGAAATTTCTGATTTATAGTAGTACAGCAATGTCTCCGTAATTGACGCTCAGATTCTGCACAAAAATGGACAATTTGGGAAGAGGAGATTGGTATCTCCTCTCTCTGGTATTTGGGGAGAGTAGATACGATTATTCGAGTCTTGCAGCTCGTTCTTATAATTGTTGACAAATTGGTGACTATAAAAACGAGTTGCAAAGTTGCTCGAATAATGGTTTATTCGAGCATTTTAGAGAGTTTATTCGAGAATTGGTAACTATAAGAACGAGCTGCAAGGCTCGAATAATCGTATCTACTCTCTCCAAATTGTCCATTTTTGTGGACAGTCTGAGCGTCAATTAGGGAGACATTACAGTAGCTTGGCAATCGAATTTGCTGAACTCGCGAATGAATTTTTTAATCGAATCTAACGAAGCTCTAATAATAACGATCGGTTCTTTTGTTTTCCAGGGAGGAGGTGCAAGAGCACACGGTCAGATGGAACGCGAAGTTCGAGTTTCTTTGCAAGATGAGTGCCAACGCGTCCACCTGTGTCCTGGACCCGTGCATATTGAGGATATCAGTCAGAAAGGTAGCTATCTCTTTGATCCTGTTGGAACGAATTTCTTCTCGTTCGACTCTCTGCTAACCGACCGTTCTATCTCGCAGGAATTGAAGGGAGGCAGGTCCTTCCAGAAGCTCGGCTTCACCGACCTGAACCTCGCGGAATTTGCTGGAGCTGGACTCTGCAGAACGAGGTGCCTTCTAGAAGGCTACGACGCGAGACATCGGCAGGATAACTCCATGCTGCGCGTCTCCATCAAGATGAACGTGCTGTCTGGAGACATATTGTTCAAAGTGTAAGCTCTCTAGCTGCTCGGACACAAAGCGAAGAGATACGAATGAGATTAAAGAAAACCTTAGCTCTAGAGGAAAAATGGGTTTGTGGGATTGTTTTCTTGCGATTAACGAGATCGTTGCTTGCAGGCCGTCTCCGTCATTGAAGCAAATGCAGCTCGCAGTGCCGGGTGTACCAGGTGTACCAGGTTTAACGGCCGACGAGGTGGTCGTGACGGATAGGTGTCCTAACCGAGAGGATTACGTGTCCAGCGGGTCGTTAGCCGGCAGCATAGCCAGCGCCAGCAGCGGTTTCGGCAGTCTTCCTAAAAAGAGGCCTGCCCTCTTTACATCGGGTAATACTAGAAGGCTTATGTTCCTCGTCTCTCTGCAGCTTCTCGCCGGAGACTAAATATTTCTTGCAAAAGCAACAAGGCAAGCAAGGGAAACAAACTTGTCTGAAGGGAAGGCGGTTTTACAGAGCTTCTCAGCGGGACGGAGTGCTACGATCCGATGACCCTCGCCGAGATCGTACCCTCGGCGGTTCTTCCAGTGGAAACTCTGGCCGAAACGCACACGGAGTCGGGCCATTCTCGAAACAGCAGCAACACCAGCCAGTTGAGCAAAGGATCCGGCTACGGGTCCTTGAATTCACACAGTCAGCACAGTAGGCAGAGCAGTAGTGGTGACAGTGGCCACATTAGGTAAGGCCACCGCGGCCTCTCCCGAGAAGCGAAAGCCACAGAGAAAAGATTCCGCCTAGGGTCTCGACGAAACACAGAAGGGTCCCAAATCACACCGTGTCCAGAGTTCTCTTCTCGATACTTCCAATAACACATGTATCTCGATCACACTCGCGACTCATTCGACCTCTTGCCCTCTAATTACTAGTCCTGGAAAGAAAGATCAGTTGCAGCGACTCTATATGTAGATCGCGGATTTTTGTTAAAGCTTGTAAGAATCGAAAGAAGAAACAGATATCGAGTCTACAGACTAGAAAATCGCTTGCAGTAGATGCACGCAGTGTTTGTAAAATTTTGGTGATTTCAATGTTAGCCACATCGAGGTCAAGAACAATAATGAAAAGATCGACAGTTGCGTTAACATCGCACAATGTTATTGGGCAAGGGGTTAATCGCTTGCTACTCACCCGGACACGTCGTCCGTTCCGTCGATCCGAGTACCGTGATCGACTGCCTCTTCTAACACTTCCGATTCGACGTGGACGATAAGCAAGCATGATTCTCGACGGGATTTCTATGGAGGAATTTACATCTACGAATCAATAATACACCTGTCAATCGATTCGACAGTTCTCTCGATTAAAGATCAAGAGGATAGTCTGAAAAGAGATACACTTTCGAAGCAGGATGTTCTAACAACTCGCACTAACAATTACTCTAACGCCACGACAGGCGTTGTCGACCGCTTACGACCTCGCTTCACGAAATCTACGCTTCTCTATCTAGAACTCTGGTCTTTCTCTTTCTCTCTCTCTGTAAAATCACGAAAGAATTTCTGTATCGCTTGACGGAACAGTTGTACATGACATTAACGCCGAATTTCTCTCACGACTGACTACGGAGAGGTATTTGACACACATCTATACGACACGCGTTGCGGATCTAACTTGCGACCGGCGGACGGCTGTTGCCGGAAAAGCATCAAGTTCTCCGAGGAAAACTTCTTCTCTGTCTGATTTTTTTTTTCTTTAACCGGAGACTCTGGATTCTCGTATACATATATCTTCTTTTTTTGCACATAGGGCTCTGCCCAGGTGCTCCTGAATTTGTCAGATACCTGTGGCTTTGCAAAACTTCTAGTTAGAGAGTCACTGTCTTGTCAATAGCAAACGTTATTTCTCTGATTCTGTCCACTGGAAATGCATTCGGTTGATGATATATCGACGTTATTTTTGATTCCGTGAGGAATCTTTAATTGTTTCTTAAGAGTTTTACTATTGGATATGTATTGTTGAACTTCTGGATGATGATGATACGTCAACAAACATTATTTTACTTGGTTATTAAGATTATGCCGCCATAGGTGATCTATTCACAATTGAGATTACTATTGCTATCGACACCTGTTTAATAAAGCAGAGAAATCTCCAGAATTTTTGTAAGGCAGCAACAAGTATCCAATGTATTCAGTGCCACCGGGCCACCCTGTGTACACGTTTTGATTCTGCGCTCAGTTCATCCTCTTTCCGTTTCAACAACGTACACGCGGGTTTATTATGATTTTTGCATGCTTCAATATTTATGTTGTGATCTTTATAGGTCACCCTCCTGGCCGGTATGGGCTCCACGTATCCCGAACCCTTCCCAGAATCTGGGGCCGAGTCACGAAGCTGCGAGACAGCCTGAGACTGGCCTCGACAGCACCGACTCCCCATCCTCATCTTCCTTGATGCTGTTGGACCCGCGCAACCGGTTCTGGCCGGGTTCGAGTCCGGTTTCGTCTCGCGATGGCAAATCGGATACGCGAAATTCAAAGACGTCTTCGAACGTCGCGGCACGGCTGTCTTCCAGCAAGCATCAGAACGAGATCATAGGCTCTAGGAACGGTATAGCGAACAACGTAGGCCGCCTCGGTTCTATCGATGTCAAAAACAACGAGGTGGTCGACGTGTTCAAAGTGCCGCAGGACGTGCCGCGACTGTCGCGCAAAAATTTCGATGGGAACAGCTTCGATCTGCGAAACGAACGCAACGCGATCACCAACGACAGAAACGGGCAACAGCATCGCAACAGCATGATCGTGTCGGTCGCAAAACCGAGGATCGGTCAGCCGGGTTGGAAAAATTTCTCGAAGACCTGCGACTGCATCGAGAAGGGTAAAATCAGTCCGGTGTTGCGACTGGTCGATCAGGCTAGAGCCGTGTCCTCCCCCGATCCACTTCATAGGCCCGATAACCCCAGAGCCTCGCTACGTTCCGCGACGACCGGTCAAACCCTCAGGTAGGTTTCATTCGACAACGACTTTTACCAGTTTCTTTCTTGTACCAGTCTGTTTTTTCTTCGTGTCGGTCCGTCTGTCCTCGATCATTTGTCCTTGTTCCGAGGCGGATTTCTACACTCGAGGATTCTAATCTTTTCTCGTCCGGCCGTTGTCCTCTCTGGGGATTAAAAAAAAAACGCTAGTGATGGGATCAAGTTCGATATGCACTTAGAAATCCGAATCATGTCCGGTTTCGTGAAGAGAGTCAGGAAGACATCATCGTTTCATTGACCATCCAATAACTGTAACTAAAATTTTAAAAGGAGGAAGACAAAGAAGGATCGGTTCTGTTCAAACTCTCGTGTCTGTTTCAAAGCGATGCACTTTCTTGTCGGACATAGTCAATGAAACAACTTGTGCCCATCACTGTTAACCAACGTTGCTTCACCAGCTCCCTGCATCACAGGGCTGACAACAGCAATGCTTGCTGCTTCCAGGATCTAATTTACATCTCCTGAACGGTAAACATTTGGGAATTTGCTTCAGACTTGCCATCGAAGCTCAAACAGATTTAGTGTACAACGTTGTGCTCACGACACTAAGAGTTCTCCAAAATGTTCACCGATCCAGAGACGTAGATTCATCCTGGAAACAGTGGCCATCGTTCTGATCGCACCCTGTGTACCAAACCGTAACCGTCAACGAATTCTGCGAACGTCATGTTGTACAGTTTCCCCGGATCTGTTAACAGAAAAGTCTCCCCGTCTCCGTCTCACCGTTATCTTTTGTTCCGATTTGAATTGATTTTGTTTTCAGTTAGAGGCACACGATTCTCTCCGAGAGAAACGTTTGCACGATGCCGGATCCAACTGGAGAATCGCAATGAAAACAATTCGAAGATTCGCAATGAATCGTGTGCCTCGAACGCCGCTTCCATTTCTCACACGCTTGTGTTATCTTGTATCAAGAAGTTCCTTGAAACGATGCTTGCAACGAGACGATCAACGATCGAGACACGTAATCTGCGCCGATATAGGGCTGTAACGCTTGATCTGTTATCCACTGTCGGTCGCGATAGCCACCAAACCGAACACGACAGAGACACACTCTCTCACATCGACCTACACGAACTAGCTACTACGAGACGAGCTGTCCGCTTCGCTTCATTAACCGTGAGTCGATTAGAGGCTGCTACATTGAGAACAAGGGCGAGAACCTGCCACCGACATCTCCCATGTCTCTCACGAAACCACGTCAAATAGGACCCCTTTGACCCTTCTCCGCGCTGGACAACCTGCTTGCGTTATCGTTTCTCCGCGGTTTCCGATTCTGAGACGAGCTACGGTCTCGCCCTGACTCGTCGGGGTCCAAGTGTATCTGTAATATAGCTTCGCTAGAGCAAAGGATGCATTTCGTTTCGCTTCGAGCCGCGTGAAACTTGAGTTTACGTTCATTTTAGAATCGATGCTGTTCGATGCCTTTTCAACGGCTGTATCATCGTTGTCGCGGGACGATAACGGAATGCATCCGTGAAACGCGTAGAGGATTGGCCCTGAACTATGATTAATGTATAAAGCAATGGGACAGGATGTGCCTCGCTGGGCGTAGCTTTCAAATTGGTCTGTAATTAAGCTATAAGCAATGTATTATAACGAAGGGTGACATTTTTGTTCAAAAATTGATAGAGAGGACCTTGATGATTGTACAGTTTTCTAAATTAGAGCCTAATCGTCTAGGTAAATAAGAATGTAATCTACCTTGGAAAGAGTATCGCAGAGGGTGAAGGGTTAGAGCGGCCGGCGAGGTAGATCCTGACAAACGGGGCAACGTTAAAGAAACGGGAAAGGAAGAAGCTAAAAGGGTCGGAGGAGAGGAAGTGTAGCTTTGCTTCCAGTTTGGATGGCTTTGTGAATCCTTGCAGGGCTATTGGCGGAGGCCACCGGAAGTTGCTGGACGGGGCGGGGGGCAAGCTGGCTACGGTCGCCACCAGCCCAGCGGACTCCGAGGAGTCCTCTTTAGGAGTACCGGAAGTCGTTCCACCGAGCTCCCAGCACCGAAACAGCATAACCCCACCGTCAGTCCATGCTTTCGTCTTAATCTGTCCTTCGTCTTTGCGCGTGTGTATGTGTGTGCGCGCGCGCGGGTGTCTCTGTCTCTCTCTTTGTCTCTTTATCTTTCTGTGTGTACGCGTGTGGTGTCCCCCGTGGCTTGTACTCCGCAGAGATAACAAGTTTGCTACCCAGACGTCGTACTCTTTTTCTCGTGCAATCTGATTTGTACTATTTGGCAGCTGAAAAGTTCGCGACTGGGGCGCTATGGGGGTGCGAGAGTGCTCGATTCGTTCCTGCAGCGTAAACTTCGACCTAGGATCTTTCTGATCAACGACATGGTTGCGAGAGATTAGAGATTTTCGGACGCGCTTATCAGGCCTAGCAGCCAACTTGTCGTCTCTGCTTTACCGTCTCGTATTCACGGAGGTGTAAATGAAGCAACCGGCACCGATAGATGTTGACACCTCGCGGTACTTGTCTGCATTTTGCGCCGACTGCGATCGGAATTCTCCGATCGTTGTTTTACGAGCCTTTTTGCGAGAACGAGTTTCCGCTTCGAATTTTTTTTTAATCCGTTAATGCCTGTGTTAAACCCAGGACGAGTCGTCGTGTCTCGTCTGTTTGTCCAACGGTGAAAACCTCGTTGAAACAATTAATTCACCGACTGAAAGAACAGACATATCCGAGCTGTTCTTCGTCGCTGATTCAAACAGGAAATTTAAACGGAGACGGACAGCCATCCGTGAGGTGTCAGCCTCAAGGAAATCTTCGCGAGGTTTCCGCGTCTGTGAGATAGTCGCGTTGGAAAATCGAAGCGCTTGCGATACGACCTCGGAAGAGGCACGGAACACCGCGACGAGCTGAATCTCTGTTCGAGCAACAGGAAGAACGAGAAATGATCGGTTTATAGATCCAACCAACATTCGAAACGTTTCGAGTTCAAAGTACCGCGTTCCTAAATATTTAAACGTTCTTTTATCTTCGCGCCGGGTTCGAAGGTCACAACCTATATATTCTTTTTTTGCGCACGCCAGACATTGCCATATAAATTATCCGTCGATTTTTTGCGGCTCGTTTGGGATTCAGCTTCCTGGAAGCATAATTTATACTGTTAGCATTTGCTTAGCGGAGTGTCTCGAACGTGAAGCTTCGCATGCTCCTCGCACGACTCGGATCTGTTCAAGAGCCGTTTTAAACAAAAAGACCGAGATTCGAAAGACGAGATCGTGCGAGAACCGCGCCGTGACCGCTTATCATCGTCTTCACGGATCCTTGAACAGGTCCGGTCTGATCCCTTGGATCGATTCTGGGGTCACGATCAACCCCCTGAGCTGGCTCGTTGCATGCGAACCACGCGTTGCCTCCATACTCGCGAGAGGTACAGTAATGTCTCCCTAATCGACGCACAGATTGTGCATGAAGATGGATATTAAGATAATAATAATTAATTAATAATAATGAATAATAATAATTAATTAAATAATATTAATATCTTAATATTAAGACACGATTATTCGACTCTTGTGGCTCGTTTTTGTAATTGTTGACAATCGGTAACTATAAAAACGAATTGCANGTTGTTTTACGAGCCTTTTTGCGAGAACGAGTTTCCGCTTCGAATTTTTTTTTAATCCGTTAATGCCTGTGTTAAACCCAGGACGAGTCGTCGTGTCTCGTCTGTTTGTCCAACGGTGAAAACCTCGTTGAAACAATTAATTCACCGACTGAAAGAACAGACATATCCGAGCTGTTCTTCGTCGCTGATTCAAACAGGAAATTTAAACGGAGACGGACAGCCATCCGTGAGGTGTCAGCCTCAAGGAAATCTTCGCGAGGTTTCCGCGTCTGTGAGATAGTCGCGTTGGAAAATCGAAGCGCTTGCGATACGACCTCGGAAGAGGCACGGAACACCGCGACGAGCTGAATCTCTGTTCGAGCAACAGGAAGAACGAGAAATGATCGGTTTATAGATCCAACCAACATTCGAAACGTTTCGAGTTCAAAGTACCGCGTTCCTAAATATTTAAACGTTCTTTTATCTTCGCGCCGGGTTCGAAGGTCACAACCTATATATTCTTTTTTTGCGCACGCCAGACATTGCCATATAAATTATCCGTCGATTTTTTGCGGCTCGTTTGGGATTCAGCTTCCTGGAAGCATAATTTATACTGTTAGCATTTGCTTAGCGGAGTGTCTCGAACGTGAAGCTTCGCATGCTCCTCGCACGACTCGGATCTGTTCAAGAGCCGTTTTAAACAAAAAGACCGAGATTCGAAAGACGAGATCGTGCGAGAACCGCGCCGTGACCGCTTATCATCGTCTTCACGGATCCTTGAACAGGTCCGGTCTGATCCCTTGGATCGATTCTGGGGTCACGATCAACCCCCTGAGCTGGCTCGTTGCATGCGAACCACGCGTTGCCTCCATACTCGCGAGAGGTACAGTAATGTCTCCCTAATCGACGCACAGATTGTGCATGAAGATGGATATTAAGATAATAATAATTAATTAATAATAATGAATAATAATAATTAATTAAATAATATTAATATCTTAATATTAAGACACGATTATTCGACTCTTGTGGCTCGTTTTTGTAATTGTTGACAATCGGTAACTATAAAAACGAATTGCAAGACTCGAATAATGGTATCTCCTCTTCCCAAATTGTCCATTTTTGTGAACAGTCTGGGCGCCAGTTAGGGAGACATTACTGTACTCGCCTCCATACCCATAATATACGACTCGCATTTTCTTCTTGCGCACGCCTCTTCATCATTTCCGCCATTTTCATAATCGCCGCTGACATTTTCGCCAGTTTCGTTTACCCGTCCCGCTCTCCACGCGGTTCCCCCGCAGCATCTGCCCCAAGCAGCAACCACACCACCCACACCCCCGACGCTTCTGACCTTTTCGTTTCGTTCGCGTCGCAGCACCCCTCGCATAATCCTCTCCATTCTTTTTGCATCGAAGAAAGCTCGTTATTGCACGCGATGTGTCGCAGAGATATTCTAATCAATGTTACAGCACTGGCCGCGAAATTAGGCTACCGAAGGTTTCACAGTGGTACATAAAAGTTCAGACGCTGAACCGAGGAAAAAAAGGCGCCCGACGGATTTCGCGGTGAACTTTTTTTTTTCAGCACGGTTTTTCTAGGCATAAATTATTGTTTACCGTTATTATGTAATGGTCGTAACCAATGTATTTCTAATTGGGAAACGTATAATATTTATCGGTTTTCTTGCGTTACGAACGTTCGCGCACGTGATAGATGATTTATGTATTCGGGCAAACTTCGCTTCATCGGTCCGAATAGGCTGAAAGAACGACTCTGGACGTTTGGCCGGAGCACGGTACGCGTTGCGGGACGATCAAAAGGTTCGGTGAATTTAACCCGGACAATCCAGTTCTGCAAGAATAAACGTTTTTGTAAACTCGATACGCAGATACCGTTAATTTTACTGCTGTGAAACAACGGGTTCCGACGTAACGGGCACGGAGCAATCCTGCAGAAACAATGGAACGCGGTCACGTGGTCGAGCCATTACCGCGTTACGAGACCGTCAATACTTGAACACCGATGAATATTTAAATTTCAAGGGAGCAACCTCGTCTAGTTGACCGTTGCTCCGGGTTTCATTCTTTTTTTTTTTTCCTCCGTGACTGTGATCGCGGCGGAGACGAACGCTTTGTTTCCGCGCCAGTGCTCGCGAAAACGTCAAACAGACGATTTAAGGATCGAGGACGCCGTACCGACTAATCGCTGACGGGCCTTTGCCGGCCGTTTGTTTTCGCAGAAATCCTTCCGGCGGCTCGGGCCTTAGCGAGACAGGATCTTTGGACCGGGCGAAGGCCGCGCTGGAGCGCAGGAAAAAGGCCGAGGACAGCGCCGGCAATCCCATCCTCTGCAGGGTCGAGGTCACCAGGCCGAACCCGGACTCCCTCATCGACGAGCTAATCAAAGCAACGAATCTGGAGCAGACGGACCTCGAGAGTTCCGAGAGTGAGTGTCGCAACTGCCCCGCAACGTCGTAAACGCCCAGAGACAAATGTTCTTCACGGACATGATTCAGTATATTCGTATAAAATAGTTACTTAGAAGTTGAAGATAGTAGTCCTAGGCGAAAGTAGTTTGCCTAGTTAAGAACAACGAGAACAGGAATATAAATAAGTCGGCTCTGATCGGAGAACATCGACTAAAACGTGCTCTTGTTTGTTGCAGCGACCGGACTCCAGTTGTTCATCGCGAAAGACGGGACGACGGCGCTGGGCAGCCACGAGGTGAAGAGCCAGATGCCCGCCGGTGTGTTCAAGCAGGTGGTCATGGAGGAGAACAACAGGTAACACGAAGCTAACACGACGAGGAGGCAGTACGCAAGACAGGCCAGCGCCACGTTCTCGTTGGCCCTGGTGCCAGAGCTCGTCTACGAGACCTGCGAGCCCCGGTAGTTGCCGAGGACAACGATGCTGGACGAGGGAATCGTCGAGACGGATGAAGAAGACACCGACCGGAACGCGAACGCATCCCGAGCTTTTATCGCCCTGAAATATTGTTTTACTTCTTCGCGGTTTCCGTTCGCGTAGCCCTGTCCCTCGGCCTTCGTTTCCGGTCGCCCAGCGTTCGTCCTCGTCGAACTCTCGTCGTCGTCGGTTACGCTCAAATTTTTCTGTCCTCGCCTTTTTTTACCGTCTCGAAGCTCAATCTCGGTCAAGCTTCGGTCAACAAACAGAGACTCGATGATCGGAACGAACGCGGACCACCGGAAGTTGAGAGTTAACGCTTTAACTACCGGGAGACTCTTCGCAGCAACTGCGGCTGAAGAAAGGTTAAGCGAGTCTGTAATTTCGACTGTACGATCGTGCGCAAGTCTGCTGGTTCAGGAATGGAATTGCTGTACTGTTTGTTGATGAGCGTTCGATTATTTGGTTTGCGAGGAGCGCGATGGTAGAGGGACCGGTAGGTAGAGTGTTAAGGACCGATCAGATCGGGATTTGCATTTTGTATTAAGTGCCGACGGGCCCCGAGCTGCGCAGAGATTGGAAGTGTGCCAGGATTGTAGAAAGTAACTGTCGAATGTAGATGTAACTGTCTAGAAATTTCATTTGCATAGCAAGATTGATTATCATTTCCTCAGACGATACAAGCGTTGCTTCTAAAGTCCATCTAAAGGTTCAAACATCTTGGTCTCCGTCGAGGCGATTTGATTACGTTTTGTAAATTTTATGAACAAAGCGACGGAGATCGTAGCGAGCTGCGCCGGTAGCCAAACAGGTTCAATCTCCTTTTATCGTTCTGTCTTCGTGTCGCTGCGCAGTTCCCGGCGGAGGTACGCCGATTTTTCCAACGAAGCGCCGGTCGATCGAGTTTAAAGGTATCTCGTGCCGAGCCTTGTATAGAGTTATACCGAGAGTGAGGGAAACAAATCGATTTCCGGTGCGGACTAGATTTACAATGTAAATGTTTAAACAAACGTTGAGCTGTGCGCGCGCCCGTCCGCCCGGCCGCCGATGCTTCTCCTTTCTGCTTGTGTTCACGGTTCCTTTGTCGTCCGCGGAACGAATAGCCACTGACAGAGACGAGACCCAGTGGGCTCTGATGAAAAAAGGAAAAAAAAGAAAAGAAAAACCGAAGAGATTTCTGATAATTAAAACGAAGATTCCTGCTGATTTAACGGAGATTTCGACGCCTCGCGCGCGCGAGATCTCAAGGCCGCCACGTACAAAAACGAAACGGAAAAAACAAATCAACCGAAGAGCAAAACGATTATTTTTCTTTGGTCGCGCTCGCTATCGTTCATGGTACAATTTTTAATATATACCTACATATGTATATACGTAATACGTTCACGTGTATGTTAATTAATTAATTATATATCGGTTCTTCTATTCGCTCGCGAGGCCCGTGGACGTCGCGCCACCCCCCACGTATTTATTTTTATTCTCGGATTCGCTCCACTTTATAGTATTTCCGTGTAATATATATACATAACTGATATATATATATATATATAGTATATATACATATATACATATATATTTTGGCGGGGCCCGAGCGGGGCCCAGTGTTTTTTCCTTTGGTAATTTTTTGCAAGCGTTCACGCGCGCCCGCTCCGTCGTTTCCGTTTAACGATCGTTTTGTAAGCGAGAACATAATGAAAGATTACCGAGCCTCCGAGGAGACTGCGAGATAACTATATTGCTAATTGTACCTCCCGACACCTCCGGGAACGAGCTACGATTCCATTCGGTAGACACTTCGAGTCGGTGGAACGAGATTCACCAACAAACAGTGCCACATTATTTAATTCTCGAGGCTGGACGTTTTCCGTGATATTACTATCTAATTATTATATTCTCTCTTCTTTTTCTCTCTATCTCTTTCTCTCTCTCGCATACACTCTCTCTCTCTCTCTCTCTCTCTCTCTCTTTCTCTCTCTCTCTATCTTTCTCGCACCTGCACCAGGGCTTGAAAACTATTATAACAACGGTTTCGGTTCTTGAAGCGATTACGAAAAACCTTTGCAATCATTACCCGTAGTCTGCGGATTTCTATGCATTTATTCACGCCTGTTATGATTCACACAAATTCACGTCACAGTACGCTGCACAGTAATCAAAGATTCGCAAGCGGTGTACGTTGCTTCTAATGAAACGCTCCAAGACTGAAGGCAGACGTCAAAGTCAAACNATGGTACAATTTTTAATATATACCTACATATGTATATACGTAATACGTTCACGTGTATGTTAATTAATTAATTATATATCGGTTCTTCTATTCGCTCGCGAGGCCCGTGGACGTCGCGCCACCCCCCACGTATTTATTTTTATTCTCGGATTCGCTCCACTTTATAGTATTTCCGTGTAATATATATACATAACTGATATATATATATATATATAGTATATATACATATATACATATATATTTTGGCGGGGCCCGAGCGGGGCCCAGTGTTTTTTCCTTTGGTAATTTTTTGCAAGCGTTCACGCGCGCCCGCTCCGTCGTTTCCGTTTAACGATCGTTTTGTAAGCGAGAACATAATGAAAGATTACCGAGCCTCCGAGGAGACTGCGAGATAACTATATTGCTAATTGTACCTCCCGACACCTCCGGGAACGAGCTACGATTCCATTCGGTAGACACTTCGAGTCGGTGGAACGAGATTCACCAACAAACAGTGCCACATTATTTAATTCTCGAGGCTGGACGTTTTCCGTGATATTACTATCTAATTATTATATTCTCTCTTCTTTTTCTCTCTATCTCTTTCTCTCTCTCGCATACACTCTCTCTCTCTCTCTCTCTCTCTCTCTCTTTCTCTCTCTCTCTATCTTTCTCGCACCTGCACCAGGGCTTGAAAACTATTATAACAACGGTTTCGGTTCTTGAAGCGATTACGAAAAACCTTTGCAATCATTACCCGTAGTCTGCGGATTTCTATGCATTTATTCACGCCTGTTATGATTCACACAAATTCACGTCACAGTACGCTGCACAGTAATCAAAGATTCGCAAGCGGTGTACGTTGCTTCTAATGAAACGCTCCAAGACTGAAGGCAGACGTCAAAGTCAAACTTCTTATGAACATTTTTATAAGCGGAAGAACTTCCGATCACAATAGCTATGAGAAAAATCATGCAGCAAGAAGTTAATGAGTCTTCCTCGTTAAGGATTGACACGGTTGATAAATCGGATTCGTTTTTGTAAAATAATCTGGAACAGATGAATTCTCATTTAGAGCAAAGGTTCTTCGTAAACTCTCCCGGAGCAGACACGTTGCACGTATAACAGTTTTCAACAGTTATTTTCGATGCCGTGCGAAGCCCTGGCCAGAGTACCTTCTCCGCTCGTCACCCAAGAGAAAAAAAGGGACTATAGCTCTCGCCTTCGGTTTTTCGTTCCGGTGCGATTGGCGACTGCATTAGCGATTCGTTGTATATATAGCCGGTAGTAATTGTTGCGTAGGTAAAACAAAAAAAAACGGCTGGTGTTGTGTGTATAGCGCGTGCGGAAGAGACGCAGCGAGGCGAGGTGAGGCGCGCAAGCATCTGCGCGCGGCTTGCGAACCATAGTGAACGAACGACCGCTTCAGAAAGCTACGGTCGCCTGTCGAGAAACGATAGACTGAGAGAGACCCGATAGACAGGGAACTTAGCGGATCCGAAGCGGTCGCTTGATCTCGATCAAACTGTAATATATCAAGGACTACGTGACCGCGCGAGAAATGCAGATATTCTCGTCACCGATGCTGCATCTCTTCTAATCGCCGCGACGTTTCCCCCGAGGACTCTCCGAGAACCTGCTCCGAAAGCAAACACGAGAGAAGGCGTCAGAAGGAGCGAGAGAGGTTCGGGGAAAACCGTTCTGTATATATAGGTGTGTCTGAGATTACGAGGAGAGCAGCGAGCACTTCCAGAGAACGGTGAACGAAGAATCAAAGACAAAAATGAAACACGAGCGACAAAAACTCCTCTGTCCTTGGATCCTCGCATGGATCGGCCCCCTTAATCCCGAACCCTGGTTCCGCGTAGATCGGTGGTCTTCGAACTTCGGCGACACGAAACGTTGGCCCCTTAAGGGCCAAATTAGGGCACGAGATTCGGTAAATTGTTATTACCACCTGATAACTATTAGACACGCAAGGTCACAGTTTTCTTTTCGATATGCCGATCACAGAAGCAAACAGATCAGATGGAAGGTGGCAGAATATTTTCTCAATCAAAGTAGACCATGCTTTTATTTTTTGTTATTATTACGATGCACAATTGCTGACAATTGGCGTCGATTCTTTCTTATTCTCGATTCATCTCAACCCCCATCGTCCATAGAAATATTGCTAAAACATCATCGAAGAGTCATCAATGTCTAGCTCATCTTTCTTTGAAAATTCCATGGGATTTTGTCCACGACTCGCGGGACTGTTAAAAAAAGAAATCCAGGATCCCACGAAAAGTTTGAAGACCACTGGCGTAGAATTAACGTTTAACAAAAGAAAACCACAAAAAAAAGAAGAACAAAATGAGAGAAGTGTGGCAAGCTAGTAATCGTGTGCACAAACTGCTTTCGCTCCGACAGTCAGTCTAGCTATACCCGTCCCCTCGTTTCCGGTTTCGTTCTGAGAGGACCTGCCCGCGATCCTGCGACCGTGATCCGTCGACGATCGTAGGATCGCGTCCGCGGTCCGGACACAGGCAACAGTGTTCATTTCCTTGCAAACTAACGCTGCAACGGCTGTTTCCTCTCCTCGGTTTTCTTGGTTCCTTGGACTCTTCCACCCGCACCGATTCCCGTCAGAGGATCGTATTCCTGCTCTTCGCAGTACTATACTGCCTTGGTAACTGTGTCGCTTCCATCAGCCCCGATAAAGTCGTTGCACTAAATCTAAGAAGAACCCTTTTTTCATATTTAGCCTTTTTTTTAGAAAGACTACCCAGTCTTTTCAAAATTATACAGAACGACTTTTAGTTTTTATTTAAGATGCCAGCAAAATTATCCTAATTTTGGAGAAAAAAGGGTGCAGTCGGTAGCGAATTCAACTGGCATAAAATCATGGAAATATTGTAATTTAGAAAAAACTGCAAGAGTCGACGAAGCAAAACATTCTTCTGGACATTTTAATCAGCTGAAATGATTAACGTCCGTCTGTTTGAATAGCGGCGGTCGCTTTTTAGAACATTTTTATCTCCAGCAACAAGAAATATACGTTCCGCAGGCTTGTGTCTCTCGCACGTTACCGAAACGGGGTTACCGAGGCAGGACAAGTATCGGCGTCGCTTGAACAGTGCGACCGAGCTCCCTCGAAGTTTCACGAGTCTCTGGCAAGGTCGAATTTTGAAACCGGCACACGGGATGCTGACAGGTTAAGGTCGTCGTACAATCTCTGTAGAGATCAGGACCCGTTTTGGTACAGAGACTCGACGGTGGGGGGATGATGACGCCTTCGAACGACCTCGAGCGGTCAGCATCCTTTGCCCCGAATACAAGCCGAATAGAATCTTTGGATAATTTCCATCCGCGGTCTTGTTGGTCGTGCGAGAATCTCGGAACCCGGGAGAAAACGTAAAAATAACGCTGATTGAAAGAAAGAGAGTCCAGTCGCTACAGTCGTCTAACCTTGGAGAGAGCCAGAGCCTCGAAATTCTTCGTTCCACCCTGCAGGACGTCCTTCCCCCCTTTCTTCTCTATTTCTTTCCATTACGAGTACAGTATTCTTCTATGTCCGTCGCCGATCTCGGCGCCTCGCACGGGTCTCTGGGATCGAGAGGACATAGCGAAGGTCATCTTGGAGGCTACCGAGCAACGCGCTCTATTTTTTCAGAGCCCGAGAGCTAGATTTTTATTTGGACAACGCGCGTCGGTCGGCTCCTGGCTACTACCGTTCCGCTGAAATTGTTCCGAGAAAAGGGTGGTCGCGGCGCGTGTTCCGCGGCGCACGTGGGGCACCCTTCCGCGGCCGAGCCCTTCGACTCGGTCGGGCTAATATTTGTAGAGACTAGCTAACTGTCCTAGTTGTTCCTAGTTGAACGGCCCGAGGAACGATTTTTTGGAACGTCCCATCCCGTGATCCTCCGCGTGTCAGACTCCAGTCGTGTCAGGCTTCAAGGTGAAGCAGCCGAAACCCGTGCGAGTCCGGCGCGCTCGCGACGCCTCTAATCATTTCAGTCAATTCCGCGCTCCTCTGCAGGATTTCTCCATTCTTTTCTCATGGAAAAACAAAGAAGAAGTCCCCTCTCTTTTCTTCCCGCCCCACCTCGCACCGATCTTTTACTATTCTCACCCCCTCCCCTCCAAGCTCCCGTACCGTTCTCATCCAGCGGATATTAACGTTGTGATATTTTACAATATTGTAACGACTACTCGTTATCGTCTCTGTGTATTACGAATTGTATTATAAACGATTCAGTCTTATTTTCGAACTGGCTTCTAGGCGGCCGACGAGCGGGGTCGCGGCTCCCCGTGCGCGGCCCGTAAGGTCCGTGTTTTCGGTCTCTTTTTTTTTCTGATTTATTGATTGTTGACGGTTTGTCTGATCCTTACTTTGTGAGATGGACGCGAAACTACCATGTGCTGATAATAACACTTGGAAAATCAGAGCCCGCCAGTCTACTTTATTCTTGTACACCACTCGTTTTCTATCCTGGAATCCTCCATCGGCGTTCGGTTCCTTCTGCGTCATCACCTCTTCGAGTACACGCTTCGGCGCGATTCTCACGATGAAATGTCGCGAAGAATCAACGGAGATCGAAGCGTGTGCGTAATCGCAACGTTCGGTTGGTTCTTGAATATTCGCGCGAAACAGAAAACGCAAGAAACCGGAGTTCTTGAATGTTAACACTATGCCGTCCGCAGATCTTAGATATGATTCTTTTG